AAGGCCTATAAATACCAGTGGGAAAATCAGTAGATTAAATAGGACAGAAAGGCCTAGAATCTGAACATGTAACACTAAAATGGTGATTTTAATGAATAGAGTAGTGGCTTGAAAGCAAATGGCCCCAGGCACTCATAGGAAGTAGCATTATTGGAGGTGTGACCTTATTGGAGTAGGTGTGACCTTGTTGGAAGAAGTGTGCCACTGGCAGTGGGTGGGTTTTGAGGTCTCAGAAGCTCAAGCCAGGCCTATTGGCTCACTTGCTCTTCCTGCTGCCTGACAATTCAGATACGGACTTCTCAGCTACCTCTCCAGCACCACGCTGCCTGCATGCTGCCATGCTTCCCACCATGATGACATGGACTAAACCTCTGAACTGTAAGCCGACCCCAATTAAAAGCTTTTCTTTATAAGAGTTGCTGTGGTCATGGTGTCTCTCCACAGAAATAGAACCCTGATGGAGACCGATAGGGAAAAAAGCAATTCAATCTCACTGCTACTAAAAAGTTGACAAAAACTTTCATTGTGGGCAATTTGATCATTTGAAAGTGAGTGTTCATGCTCGTGCAGCACAGTGAGTCAGCCACGAACTCTGCAGAGTGCTGCATGATGGAAAGCTGCCACTTGGCAAATGTCTCAGGAACGTGTGTCTTTGACACAGCAATTGTTATCCTCCAGGAAACAGTGTCAACAGAACGCCTGCCTGCCTGCCTGCCTGCCTGCCTGCCTGCCTGCCTGCCTGCCTGCCTGCCTGCCTACTGACATTCACCTTAGCATTAGCTTTGTTTTGTTTTCCTGGGTTTTGGTTTGGTTTGGTTTGGTTTTTTCTTTTTTTGAGGCAGGGTCTATGTAGCTCAGGCTAGCCTCAAACTCAATCCTCCTGCCTCAGCCTCCTGAGTGCTGGGGATGTAGGAGAACATCACCACACCCAGCTCATGATTTCTGTCTGTAAGAAAAACTTAAGAGTCTCGTGAACACCCAGTGTGTTGGATTCCTTCCTGACACTGAGAAACAACTTCAAGGGGAAATGGCTTGTTTTGGCTCTAAGTTTCAGGGCAGACAAGCTATAGCAGCAGGTCTGACAGTCAGAAAGCAGAAAAGGAACAGCTCAACACCTATCCTGAGTGATGTATTTCCTCTACCAAGGTTCTACCTCCTAAATCAGTGGTCCCCAAACTTCCTAATGCTGTGACTCTTTAATATAATATGGTTGTGGTGACCCCCAACCATAAAATTATTTCATTGCTACTTCATAACTGTAATCTTGCTACTGTTATGTAAACATCTATTTTTCAATGGTCTTAGGTGACCCTGTGAAAGGGGTCCTTTGATTCCTGTCTTAGTTATGGTTTCTATGGCTGTGACAAAACACAAAAATCAAAAACCAAGTTTCTGCTCATAACTGAAGGAAGTCAGGGCAAGAACTCAAAACAGGGCAGGATCCTGGAGGCAGGAGCTGGTGTAGAGGCGGTGACAGGGAGCTGCTTATTGGCTTGCTTCCCCTGGCTTGCTCAGTCTGCTTTTTTAAATAGAGCAGGACCACCTGTCCAGGGATGACACCACCCTCCATGAAATGCCTTGGTGGCATTTCCTCAAATGAGACTCCTTCTTTTCTAATGACTCTGGCTTGTGTCAAGTTGACACACAAAACCACCCAGTACAACTTGTCAGCCTGACACACAAACATGTCACTATTCAGCCACAACTCTTCCTTTCTTACTCACCTCCAAGATCTCACAGTAAAACATAAACAACTTTAAAAGTCCCATGGCCTTTACGAATTCAAACATAATAAATTTTCAATCCCTTTTAAAATAACCTATCTCTTTTAAAATCCAAAATCTTTTAAAATTGAAGATCCTCAATCATGGGCTTCAGTAAAATACTTTCTTATTCTGAGAGGGAAAAATCAGGATACAGTCACAATCAAATAAAGGAAAATTTAATCACAACCATCCATAGGCTAGGCTCCACTCAATGATCTTCTGGACTCCTCCAAAGGGCCTGGGTCACTTCTCCAGCTCTCCTCTCTGCAACTCACACAGCTTGTCTAGGCTCCAGCTGGCTCCCCTCCACCGCTGCTGCTGTCCTTGGTAGTCATCCTATGGTACTGTCATCTCCAAAACGCTGGGGTCTCTGCTGCAATAGCCTCTCATAGGTTCTCTTCATGATGCCAAGCCTCAATTTCTTTGCATAACCTCTTCAGTCCTGAGCATTCAACTACCAGTGAGGCTGAGGCTTCACCAATTGCCTCTTCCGGCCTCTCACAGTGCCAAGAAGCCTCAGAGCCTCTCCATGACCCCTTCATGCCTTCTAAATCAGCACCACCTAGGCGACTCTCACATATTACCAAATCCAGCTGCCAGAACAAGGTATAACCTTGGCTGCTCCTCAAATACAATGTCTCTGTGCTCTCAGGAAATACTTCCCAGAAGATCTCACCTCAGCGATGCTGGTCTCTTCTTAATCACCACTAATTTCTCAGTTCCAGCTGACCAGCATCAAGCATTCCAGCAAAGCAAGGTTTCGATTCATTAGTTCTGGTATCTTGTTAATCATAGATGATTCTTCAGCCCCAGATAACCAGAACCACAGACTCTTAATTCAAAATAACAAGTAGCCCTGATAGAGACTTTAAACTTTCCTCTGAAACTTCACAGAAGAGCTCAGGTCAGTGAGCTAGTTCAGAGACTGTCATCTGCCCCTCTATAAGCCTACCCCAACTTCTGGTGTGGGAACAGATGCGGATCATTTAGTGGTCAAGTAGATGAACTAGTCAGCTTACATGGAGTGCACCTGCCTTCCTACAGCTCAAATTCCCAATATAAGAGTCAGTTCCAGTGCAATGAGATGTTCATCCTGCAGGACTTCAGCCTCAGAAAGCAAGGAGTCCCCTCCTCCATCTTTCTTACCTCTGGGGTCTGGGGCCCACGGAAAGAATGAAAAGTGAAATCACACCTCCACCAGCTACAACACTCAGGAGAACGGGCCCTGTACCTCACCAGGGCAACAAATAGAGCCAACCCTGTTAGCACGGGTGTGGTTGAGAAACCCCCAAAGTTATGAGCATGGGAGAGCTGCCCAACATCCACCCCATCTGTGCTCTGCTGGAGTACATGAAGGGACCTGACCCACAGATCCAAAGCTGCAGGATCTCCACTACACAGGCCAGCAGTAAGGGATACCAGAGGGGACCTTGGAGGCGGGGAGGAGCACATCATTGAACATGTAGTGGAGACCAGAGGCCTCGAACCAGACCAGTGACTCCTCGCAATGAACACTTGCAAGTGCAGATGTGTGGACAAAGGGGTTTATGGCATGACTTGAGTTGCACTGCAGCTTCCATGATGAGATGTTTAATTCCTTCCCTTTTCTTTATTTTTCTCACTTTATTTTCTTCCTTTGTTCTTGAATTTTGTTTTATTCGGGTGGGAGTTGCAGGAGCTGAGGGGTGATGTGAAGGGATGGGGAATGAATGGGACCAAGAATACATGATGTAAAAAACACACAGAATAAATAAAGTGAAAGCGAAATCACTTAACAATTTAAACTTTGTCTCCTCCATTTTGTTCCAAATATGTAGTTGAATTGAGCAAGTTGAAGGTATAGTCTATTGAGGCTTTAAAACTCTTAAGCAAAATAGAAAAGCAAGGCATTCTTTGTGTGATAAACCTACCAATTAGCATTCTGTGCCATTGGGCAAGTCACACTGTTCAGCATATAAAGGCTCTGGTGAGGAAAACCACAACCTTCACTCTATTCGCTCAGGGCACATGTGCAGCCCATGCCTCCTCCATGAGAAGGCTGCTGTGGGCATGTTTCTAGTCAGAGCTAGCCTTGGATCCGTATTCCACCCTAGTGGAAGGACAGTAGAGAGCCCCTTGAAGTCCTTTACCTCATTCCTCTATTGCTAACAGTAGGATAGAAAGGGTAGAAAGGTAAGCTAGAGTGAGGACATGCTGCAGGAGCAGTGCTGTTGATCTTGCTCATGTCTAGAGCACAGCTCTTGAGTCAACATCTACATGACCACCAAGCAAACAGTCCCACATTTGCCTGACCCAGCATTCCAGACAGACAGGAAGAGTCCCAGCTTCTTCCACATGAAAGCAGTGCACACCCATTGCTTTCCAAAGCAAACTGTCAATCACTGAGCCTGGAATACCACCACGTCAAACACACCCTAGTACCCCATCTGGGCCACTCCAGAAATGTTAGTTGAACCAATAACCTGTCAATCAACCCTACTTTTGTAAAAAGCAGGATTCTTCTTTGGCCTGTGTGTGTGTGTGTGTGTGTGTGTGTGTGTGTGTGTGTGTGTGTGTGACATTCATGTGTGTATGCATGCTTACCTGTGTTGTATATACATGTGCGTAGGTGCACATATGTGTACAAGGATGTGAGTAGATCAGAGGTTGACATCAGGTGTCTTCCTCAATCAAAGAGTAGAATTATTTATAAACAAAGCAGGTTTTAAAAACAGAACCTGGGCCTGAGGGTATAGCTCTGCTGGTAAAGTGCCTGCCTAGCACACATAAATCTCTGGATTTGATCTATAGCACAACCCCCAAACCAGAAACAAGGAGTCTAGCTGTGGCCATGCATTCCACCTTCCTCACTTCTTACGATAGCTCACCTCTGTCGAGCAAGAATCCTCCTAAGAGAAAAGCAAGTTCTATGCTTGTGTGTGACTAGGGATGGCATTATATACTTGGTGGAAGTAATCGTGGTCAAAACAAAGGCAAATGCACAATTCCCTGTTGTTACACTGTCTCCTGGGGTCATCGTGAGAACTCCTGACACCTTCCACTATCAATTCATAAATAAACCAATAAGAAAAACACTGGCTTAAGAGAAAAACAGATGAAGTCTTAGTTAGTGACACAAAATTACTTCCAGTAACTAGATGAGGGAAAGGAAGAAAAATCAAATAGCCACAGAGATGAGGCAACACCTCTCTACCCCAAGCACATGAAAACAGCTCAGAGCCGTCTGATACTCACTGTTCTTCTTGTACATCAAAATTTCAAAGGAATTCATCTCGTAATTCTCAAAGGTCTGGCGCACCTTTTCAATCGTGTCCTTATCGGTCAGCTCTCCATACATAAAACTGGAAGTCAACCAAAAAGCACATTAGCAACTCAACAAGTATTCATTTGTCTGCAAGCACATGTTAAGTATCTGTTCCACACCAAGCACTGAACACACATACACACATATACACATACACACATGAATACACATACAACATGAACACACATACATCAATACCACATGTGAACACACACAAACATACATAATGCACCCACACACAAACACATTCACAAACACATGCATGCATGCACACATGGATACACATACACATGAACACACATGCACACACAGTGAAAACATTAATTGAATTTAAGAAGACTTATTGATGTAACTGTGTTTTTTGCTTGTTTGTTTGCTTTAAGTCTCCATTTCTGCTCCTAAAAACTAAACAGGGAAACTGGTAGCTCTGGAACTGGGAGAATGAGTGTCTCAGTGCACCAAGGCAGGTCCTCTGCTTGGTCAGGGAAGGCTTCTGGTGTGTGACAATTACAAATGTACCAGGTCTCCCAGAACCTGGGCGTGCATCAGTTCCACATGACTGGAGTACAGGCAAAGAAGGGAAACATTGCAATCGAGAACATGGAGATGATAGAAGAGACTATGGCGTTCTCAGCCATGAAGGTAATTGACATTTTAGCCTGTAACCAAATGGAAGGCCTGGGATGGTTTAAACAATGGAAAAATAAAGTTAGATTATATCTTAGAAATACAACTCCAGATTTTGGGGAAATGACTGGATAAATTTGAACCATGGACTTTTCTTCTGATTCCTGATAAAATATGCCAGTGGGGTGGGGGTGAGGGGCACAAGAAGTTATCAAATAAGAAAGGGGGTACAAGTTGATGATCTAGCTCAAAGACACAGCTAAGGAAAGACAGAAGATTCTGCTACTGTGAAGCTTTTTCCTGCCTCCTCACCCTCTGAGAAAGACAACAACATTGGGTCAAAAACACTGAGAAAACAAAGCCCTACAAGCCTTTAATAATATATCTTCCTGCTGGAAAAAGCAGCCTCAGAAAGTAAATGCACAGCATGTAAAAGATCAAAGAAAATCTCAGGACAGTAGGGCACTGTCTATGAGCCTTGGCTCTAGCCAAAAGCAAGAAAGATGCCAGAACCATCCCATTTTCCTGAGTTCCAGTGCCCAGTCACCAAGGATCATCCTCCAGGAGCAGAATAAACTCTCAACTAATTAAGATGAACCATAGCGCAGAACACTAATAAAATGCAAGAGGAAATGGACACGAAAGGTATACTCTCTGATACCACCACCCAGAGTCCCGCAAGCACCCCTCACAGACCCCAGAACTTCCAGTAACAAGGGAAGACTATAGTGAACCCTGCCTACAGCCTGAGGCCATGCAGAAATGGGAATGTGGGCATTTCCAATCTTCTAATACTTTACACTGAATGTTTTCTAGCTTTTTCATGAAAACTTGACTCAAAGAATCATGGGATTTTATCCCGAAAAACCTCAAAAAAATAAAATAAAAACAAAAATGTACCACCAAGTACACTTCCTGACCTAGACCAAACCTCCAGTCAAGCCTGATGTCTCTGGATATTGGACCAAAGTTCACTCCAGGCTTCCCAACTCTGGTTCTCTTTAAGGAAAGAGTCCTAGGTGCTATTTTCTGATTCTGGTGTCACTCTGTCATTCTATATTCCTTCTAGCCACTGAGAGGTGTGACTGACTATGTGGGCTTCCTTGTAGAGGCTCATGTAGTGCTTTGGGCTTTGGAACTGTACTTGTGAACTAGATGCCAGGAAAATGGAAAAGAGAGCCCAGAGATACCTCTACAAAGAATAGCTCAAGACTAAAATCATCCCAACCTGGGAAGAAGATGGGCTTCTCCTCTCTCTCTCTCTCTCTCTCTCTCTCTCTCTCTCTCTCTCTCTCTCTCTCTCTCTCTCTCAGACATTTTATTGGACCAGTGGTCTTCATTTAAGGGAAGTGCTGGTACCCACAGCTGCGGCTTCCTCACAAGCAAGCAGAGATCCCATCGAGTCTCCCTACACAGATAAAGTGTAGGGTTACACCCATTTGCACTAGGCTCATGGACTTCTCCAAGCTGTAGCCCACTAATATGTGGGCATTTCCTTTACTGCACACCAGAATACAAATGCTTACTGTGCAGAAATAAGAAAAAGAGAAGGCCTGATCTACCAGGACTGCAGTGGGAACACACAGGTGGGGGAGGGTGCTCAGGTGTTACCGCTGAACACATTGCTTAGGACTGTATAAAAGAAAAGTTGGCAAACTCATCAAGGGAATGCCTCTGTTGTCCTATAGGTGAGTACAGCCAATAAGGAAAAGAGGGGAGACGCCACTCCAACCATCCTAAAAAGTGAAGCTAACCCCTGAGATTTGTCAGTTGTCAATCTGCAGGTGGAGATGGACAGATAAAGATGCTCAATGGAAAACAGCACAGAGAATGCAGGACATTCATGCGCACTAGAGACACAACTTCCAAATCTGTAACAGTGAGAAAATACAAACTGCCCATTTATCAAGCTTAACAATCTAGACTTTAACAGAATTCAAATATTGTCCAAGCATGTAATAGAGTTTGCCAGCAGTTAATGTGGCTGATCTATTAGGTGAAAACACAGGGCAGGGCAAGCATCTTCACACTCTGTGATGAGTTTACTTCTTGGTTTAGATAATAGCTCCACTCCATGACTATAACTTAGAAGATGGGGTGGGGATACCCAGACACTGTGCCAAGATCCAACCATGGCTGCTGAGGAATGCCTGGCAGAGTCCAGGATGCATACTAGCTACACACCTTGGAAGCAGCTTTTCTAACATGCAGGCTCAAGGTACTGAGGCGTCCATATCGAATACACAGCTGTGCTTGCAACTCAACAAATGACAATATGGCTTCTCCTCTAAAGAATTCTGGCAGAGGGAAAGGTGTATGAAAGAGGCCTTACCTTGTAATTATCCTCTATAAAGTATTTATAAAGCTTTAAATTTTTGGGCTGGGGATAGATCTCAGTTAGTAGATTGCTTGCCTAACAAGCACAAGGCCCCGGGTTCAATTCCCAGACCTGCATAAACAGGGCATACTGGCACACACCTGTTTGTAATCTCAGCACTTGGGAGTCTGAAGCAGGTACAGGAGCTCAAGGTCATCTTTGGCTAGCCAGTCTGAGCTACGTGGTTGTCTTGATTTAATTAATTAATTTTTTAAAATGTAGTCATCAAAAACTGCATTTATTTACATTAAATTCTGTTTAATTTTCTAACTCTTACATTAAATTCTATCTATTCCCATCTATGATGGGTTGAAAAGAATGGCCCCCAAGGGGAGTGGCACTATTAGCAGGTGTAGCTTTGTTGGAGGAAGCGTGTCACTGTGGGGGCGGCCTTTGAGGTCTCTTCTCAAGCTTCCCTTAGTGTGACAGGCAGTTGACTTCCTGCTGCCTGCAAGATGCAGGACTCTTAGCTCCAGCACCATGTCTGCCTGCCCACTGCCAAGCTCCCTGCACACGGCCATGCACCCTTCATGATTACAGTGGACTGAACCTCTGAAACTGTAAGCGAGCCACCCTCAATTAAATGCTTTCTTTATGAGTCCCCATGGTCATGATGTCTCTTCACAGAAATAAAAACCCTAAGACAATGTCACACAGATTTTTCAGTTTTCCATTCCCCATCGTACTGACTGCTGATTTGCCAGCTGTAGGCGCTGTGTTCTACATCCTTGTTGGTTTTTCCAGCACATGCACAAACAACAAGAGTCATGTCAATAGAATTTCACCAGAAATGAAGAGCATGATCAAGGCGATCTTCCTTTTCCCAAGAGACACCCACCCCTCGGCTCCCCAGAAAGCTGTGCTGGAGGTACCTGCAGGCACTGCTTTTCTGCATCACTTCTGCTCGGTGGTAGCCAGACAGTTTGCAGAATCCATCATTGCTGTACACGATGGGCCAGTCCACTATCTGGGCATTCCCCAACACAAAGTTAGTATCTGTTTCAGAAAAGAAAAAAGAAAGAAAGAAAGAGTGCACGAGGCAGGACATCAGTTGACACGAACATTTTCAGTAGTCCTGACACTTACAGGTACAGTATCTCATGCAGAACCATGTCCCCAGGAGGAACAGGGAGAACCAAGCTTTGGAACTGGAAACTATAAACATAAATGCTAACCAAGGCCAGAATATCTATCCTAGGGAAGGAATCGTGTTTAGCCACCAACCCAGGAACCTACAGGAATCTGTTGAGTTCTTAGACAGGGTCAAGGCCTAATTTTTCATCCCTCTGGAAACACAACCATAATATGAAGATGAGGGGCCAAGAGCAGTTTCTTCCGGGCTCTGTGTGGAACCTTAGTCTTATTCTCTTGGCCAACGGACACAAATTGGCTTTGCTGACCCTGACTAGCCCTGGCCATTTTACAAGGCCCTTCTATGGAAGCAAGGGAAGTGGGTAGCATACCACCTCACAGGACACACAGGAGGAATCTCATGAGGACAGTGGCCAGACCTTCCTCCTGAAACTGCCGTAGAGAGCCATCAAGGGGCTCACACCACAGAACCATCTCTGACTTTGAAATCCTGTAGCCACAGAGCGGCATGACAGTGGCCAGCCTCCCTCTCACTCAGGAACGGGAGTTTAAGGAGGCAGGCACACAGGCTGGCTTAGTTGTTTTCTCATGGTTCTAACATTTTGAAAATCAGAACTCACCAGAACCTTTTGTGCTCAGGAAATCAAGTGTCCATCTTGATCTCAATAATTTAAATTGAACAGATAAAATATGGGTCTTCGACATAACTGTCATATTTAGCCTGGCTCCCTCCTCTGCATTTATTCCCATGCATCTCACCCCCCTAAAAGAAACACATGCGTGCTCTTTCCTGATATAAATGAAAGATTATGTCTCATATGTGTGTGTACACATGGTGAAATGATGGCTCTTTCTAAATGGGAGGCTGATTTGTTCTAACATAGCATTTTTGTACTTTTATGTGCATCAGTGAGTTCCTATGAGACACAGTAGCTGATTTTCTGTATCACTGAATACACATCAACGACACAAAGCAAGTTCATTAAGCGTGCACACACCTGTCTGTGTAGATATGTTCACTTGTGTGCACGAGTGTATATGTACATGTGTTGGATATGTGCACATGTATGTATGAATGTATGTATGCATGCAGTGGATTGTACATTTATGTGCAAGAGTGTGTGTGATGGGAGATGTCATTCTGTGAATGTTTCTCTTATTGGTTAATAAATAAAGCACTGTTGGCCAATAGGAAAGCAAGATAGGTGGGACTAGGAGGAGGAGAGGAAATAGTACGGGAGAGATTCAAGATAGAGGATTGAGAGAGAAGAATGCTGGGGTCTCTCTCCAGTAAGATGAGACCACATAGAAATACTTAGATTAATAGAAATGGGTTACTATTTAAGACAGAGCTAGCTGATATGACACTAGTAACTGGCCTACAGCTTTATATCAAATACAGTGTCTCTGTGTGTTATTTCGGGCTGGTGCAGCGGGACCAAGCTGGCAGAAAAACCTACTCATAACTTGTGTGTGTGGGCGCGCCTATAGTAAATGTGTGTACATGTGTGCATGAGTGTGTGTGTGCATGAAGTAGATGTGTGCAATGTGTGCATGAGTGTGTGTGTGTGTGCATGTAGTGGATGTGTGCATATGTATGCATGAGAGTGTACATGTAATGAATGTACATGAGTGTGTGTGTGTGTGTGCGCGCATGCATGTAGAGGTCAGAGCTTGACGGTGGGTATCTTCCTTGACTGCTGTACACCTAATTTTTGAGAGAGTCTCTTACTGAACATGGAGCTCATAGACTCTGCTAGGCTGGCTGGTGAGTGAGCTCCAGGAATCTACCTGTCCCTACCCATCCCAGTGCTGGCATTCTAGGCATACACCACTGTGCCCAGCCATTCACACAGGCAGAGTAGATCAGAATGCAGGTCCTCGGGCTTGCAGCAGGCACTTTACCCACTGAGCCATCCCTTGGCCCTAAGGACAGCATCTATAATTCACTCACAGTGTAGGTCACCACTCTTCCTGTCTTCATGGAGTCGGACAGGCTGCTCTGGCCTCCGCAGATGAGTTTATTTCTTATTTGGCAGGTTTATAAAGAGTATTACATTTCATAAAAGAAAAAAAAACACCAAAGACAGAGGATGTTTAACCACTCATGGAAAAGGCAAGGAGAGAGAGACATCAGAGGCCATGCTGAGCCAAGGCCTTTGGGGAGGATGGGGATCATCTTCCCTGAGAATAGCTCTGTTTATTTATTGCTATCATTATTAACCTCATTATTATTGTTATAATTGTCATTATTATTATTGCTGCTGTTGTGTGTATGATATATGAATGGGCACCATGCCATGGAATACCTGTAGAGGTCAGAGGACAACCTTACAGGGTCTGTTTGCCCCTTCTACCTTAACTCGGACTTTTGGGAATCAAACTCATGTTGCCAAGTTTCTGTGGTAAGCCTCTTTACCCACTGAGCCATGCCGATGACCCTATTTGTTCTACCTAAAAGGAACATAAATACAGCTTTCAAGACATGATGGTGTACACCTCCTACCTTCATAGATCAGCTTCTAATGAAAGCCACACCCATACTTACATAAGTACTTCTTGAGCACCACACACAAGGCAGGACCTCAGGGTGAGATGTGGTCCCTGAACACAAGCAAATGCCAAGACAGATGGACATGTGTATATCCACCTAGGGAAGGAGGCAAGGAGGTAACATGTGCCTGCCACCCTAGCAATCAGGAGGCCAGGTAGAAAGATTGCCATGTAAGGGCAGCCAGGGCTATATAGCAAGGCCCTGTCTCAAAAAACGAAACAAGTGATAGTCCTTATGATCACAGCACTTAAGGGTCTGAGGCAAGAGGATCTGGAGCTCAACATTCTTGGCCACAAAGCACATTAGAGACCAGCTTTGGCTACAGAAGAATACATACATACATACATAAGAATAATACAAAGAGGGGTCTAGGTTAGTGGCTCAGTGAATTAATCATTTGCTGTTCAGGCACAAGAAGCAGAACTCAGACCCCTAAAATCTATGCAGAGCTGGTGTTTGTCAATCCCAGCACAGAGGTGGGGAGAGGTAGGCAAAGGCGAGGGACTCCCTGGACCAGAGGACCTGACATACACAACAGTCAGCAAAGCACTCACATTGCACATGAACACTCACACATATTCAAACCACTTAAAAGCCCCAAATGCATCCTTCCTCTGATTACTCTGTGTGACAGCTTGAATGAGAATGGCTCCCAGCGGCTAATATATTTGAATGTTCAGTCCCCAGTTAGGTGAAACCATTTGGGAAGGCTTAGAGGGGTGTGGCCTTGTTGGAGTACATATGTCACTGGGCTGGGGTTTGAAGTTTCAAAAGCCTATACCAGGTCTACCTATGTTTATCTATCTATCTATCTATCTATCTATCTATCTATCTATCTATCCATCTCCCTCTCTCCCTTTCCCATCTCCAACTTGTTGATCAGATGTGAGCTCTCAGCTACTACTTCAGCACCAAGCCTGCCGCTGCCTTACCCCCACCACAATCCTGAACTAACCTGAAACTGTAAGCAAGCTTCCAATTAACTACTTCCTTTGTAAGTTGGGTTGGTCGTGGTGTTTCATCACAGCAATAGGACAGTAAATACAACACCCTGCTAGAGTTCATAGCTCCCAAGAAGCAGGACCCCTCACCACCACATGCAGAAGGTCTAGTAAGCTCCTCTACCAGAGGATGTGGAGAGAAGGGGAGAAAGCTCTCATCCCAGCACAAAGCCCCCAATAGTCATGACATTGTCTCCTCTCCCCCTCCCTCCATTCCTAACACATACATTCCCTTTTAACCCTAGCTGTAAACAATGACCTGAACATTACTGCCCAGTCCATTTGTATGTTAGGGGTACACATACCCCTGTGATCTCCCATACACCATTAGGAATGAGGGGAGTGATAGCGGTCAGTGGTATCACTGAGGACAGGAGCCATTAACTGGTATTTGATCTGAAACAGGCTTTACTATAACATGAGGTTTTTTTAAACCTTTTCAACAACCTTTATGAAGTTGGTATTACTAATGAAGCATCATGGATTTTGTCATCTGATTCATGGGGAAACTGAATCTCTTTGGACACCCAATAGACAGTTAAATCGACATGAAGTTGGGGCTCAAAACTGGGTCTGTATGACTTCAAAGTCCATGCTTTCCATCATTTTATCACATAGACTCCTCGCTCCATTAACTAAAATCAAGACAATTCTGTGATTTCTCTGCCTCTGAAACTCTAAATATAATGAGACTGACTTTTAATGGGTGAATCAGCAATCCACTCTTGCCATCATCTATTATGATGCACAAAGGTGCCCTTAGGACATGGGCAAAAGGAGCTCCTTCTCCAGAGGCTAGCTTCTCCATCTGTCTTCTCTCTGTTGAGTCTCTTCCCTTGCTTAAAAACTTCTTCTTAGAATGTAGAATGCTGATCTATTTCCAGAATATTCCTCCACATGATCACAGAAGGGACAGATGGGATAAGAGACTGGAGATGAGAAGGGAAAGTTTGTCCCTGGCTCTGTTTGACTCTCAGGGGTGGGAGAGAACTCCACGTTGGGTGACACACTTCTGGGCCTCTCAGTTCCCCTGGTGTTGGGAGGGACACTGAAGTTGCAATCTTCCCCATGGCTGATGGATTTGTATAAGCGGATAATTGTCATAGCAGATCCTATAGTCAAGCCGGTCTCAGACTGCCCAAAACTAGGATCAACTAGCGCGGAAGGAGCAAATATTGTAGGTGATCAGAAGGGGTAGTGGGGGTATCAGAAAAATGGAGAGAAGGGAGGAAGGGACAGAAACACAGAGGGAGCAATAAATTATACAAAGAGAACAGAGAGACAGAAACAGAACAAGAAAGGCTTGTCAGAGTCGGGGCAGGGAGACTGAGTTCTGTTTAACAGACAAG